CACCGCCGGCTCACCTTGGCTAGAAGGCGCTCCGTGAAGGAGCTTAATGAACGCAGGACTTCTGATATGATGACCGCCACGCGTCACGTCCTCTGGCGGCTTTTCGCACAGCCCGAGCTCATTTCTTGGAACATCCCTGACTTGTGCGCACCCGCGGTGCGACGCTGCACGCCCACGCCCGTCTCCGGCCTGCGTGTGGACAGCTGCCGACTCCGTGAGCGGGCCCTGCCGCGCGTCGGAGGGGTGTCCTCCGTGCGTCCAGCGCCCGCCGTCGCCGGCCTACGGCTGCACGGGCTGCAGCCGGCCGCGAGCTGCCGACCGCCGATAGTGCTGACCTCGGCGCCAAATACGGCCGGCCGCCGGCCTGAGCCGCGCCGAGCCGCTCGTGAAGCAAACGGGCACGGCTGCGCGCTCAGACAAAGCAGCATGGCGGCGAGGGGAGTCCTCGCAACACGTACGCACCCGAGCAAAGTGAGGCTCACCTCTCAGGCGTCGCGAGGGTGCAAGTCAACAGGCACCAGCCTCCTCTGCATAGTTCGCGGCGAGGAAAACCAAAAGACGACGTGAGCGAGAGCGCGATGTGAGTGAGATGTGAGTGAGCGGTTTCTGAGCACGGAGGCCCAGTGAGCGGCGCGAGTGTGGTTCCCATAACCACACGTACATGCCCCCGGCCGCAGTAACCAAGTAACCGCCGTAAGTAACCACACGGTTCGCTCGACCGCTGCGTGGTTCGGGTTGATCCGACCTGACAACAGCCAGACACGAGTGACTCATCGACCATTGGCCCAAAGGCACCTCTATTTCGGCGGCGTCCGCTTTGCGTGACGCACACAAAGCTCTCTGCAGCGGTTCACTGAATGTAGCGACGCCAAAAAATGGCATCCAACGGCCGCGTCGCACTGGGCCGGCGGCGGTGGGCTGCACGGGCTCCGGCGCGCGCGGCGGCACCACCACGGGCCCGTTATCGTGCGGCCCATGAAAACCGGGCGGCGCCGTGACCGGATCGTGAAGTTCTCGGCGAACGTTCTCTCATCATCATTAGTTGTCTTGATGGAGGTTAAACGCCGAGTAATTGGCTGGGCAACGGCCCGGAATCGTCGTCGATACGAACGGGTACAAAGTCTCGGGTATCTGAGACTGGTTTCTCGTGCAGCGGTCGAAAGTGCCCATAGTTCTCCGCGCGACGACTTCAATTATCACCGGAACACCAAAACCAATTTTTTGGGAAGCCACTAAGCCACACTTCAACGGTAGAAACGTGACGAGAAGTTTCTATTGCGCGATGCGATCGGGTCTGGACCGCCTCAGACGTGCCTGGTAATGGCGCGGGTCACTGCACCGCGCGCGGAGAAAGTCTCGGCCGCCATCTCCAACTGCCCAACGCCGCAGACCGCCGGCCGACGGCCGGGCCAAGACCGCTGTCCTCGTAAGGAGCTCAGGAAGCGGGTCGGCTGACGGCTTCAGGTGGCTACGGCCCGCCGTAACTCCGACTGCATCACCGAGGAGTGTCCGGAGTTAGTGCCCGGAGTTAGCCCTCCGTCAGGTCACCTGGCACGGACTTCATTTTGAACCCAGTGGAATAATCATGCGCCCAACCGTGCCTCTTAATAACGAAATGGTACGCAGCCGCTTGCCATTTATCATCATCTCCGTTACCGCATGGCGTCAGCAGATTTGTTGCATGGATTTCCACGAAAACTGACGGCCCGTTTCTCAGGAAAAATGGGACAGCGAATGCGCGCTCTGTGGTTTAAGGTCCAAAGTTCTCCGCCAGCCCACCCTGGCCCCGCCGACACAGCAGTGCGCAGCGTCTGCCGCGCACCGCGCGCTGAAGGGAGACGAAGCGGCGCCGTCGCGCGCGTTCGCCGCGTTTGACGGTTGCGCCATGGCCGCGCCGGCGCGCCGTACCGCCGCGCTCTGCCACTGGCGCACGGGCGGCAGCGGAGCGGAGCGGCGCCGGTGCGCGCCGCCCCGCTACAGCGCTGAGTCAGGGCGGCCGGCGGCTGCGGCGGCGGCCGACCCGGCCGGCGGCGAGGCAGCCCGGCTGGCTGTACTGCTCTTGGCCGCCTGTCCTGACAGCACCGCACCGCCCTCGGCCGGCTCCGACGCCGCACCGGCCGGCCCGCCGACCTCCGACCGAGGCGTGCTGTCCGCTACCGTCTGTCGGGGAGCGTCTGCCGCCGTCCGTCACGCCTGGCGTGATGAGTGACGTAACGCTGCCGGCGGCCGGCGGCTCGCTCACGGCTGCCCACCCGCCGGAGCGTACACCGGGCGACGGTGACCGTGACCCCGCGGCCCCGGGCCGTCGGCCGGGGCGTGGCAGCTGACCCGACGTCGACCCCAGCCGCGACCTCTGATCGTGGGCGTGCCGGCCCCCGCCCAGCCTCCGCTTCGGAGAACCCATCAGGGCACGTGTCAGGTAACCCCCCGGAGGCACTCTGTTGAATGTCAGTCCGACGGCGCAGTTTCCCCGAGGCGTCATAAATTCGCCGGACGCATTCGGACGCCGTGAGTTCATTTCACTTCCGTTGAGTTTGGACGCGGGCGGTCTCCAGGGAGCCATGACGCCAGCGCTCGCGGCTGCGGGAGCTGCGGGCGCCGCGCGGCGGCCTGCACAGGTGCTCGCTGCCGCGGCGGTCCGCACCGCCGCTACACCGCCGGAACTAACGCCGGCCGCTCGCCTGCCCAGCGCTACTCAGAACCCGCTGCAGCGCCGCGCGCGGCCCGTGTGCACGTGCACCGTGCACGACGCGGTGTTCTCCACGGCGGTAGTTCATGACGGCCAGCTTTTCCGCCGGAGATTCGCGAAACGGTAATCTGACTTCGGCCGGTAGCACGTGCGTCGTGCGGAGGCGTGGCTGCGAGGCGCCGGCTCCGGCCGCGCTCCGAGCAGCCATCCGCCGGCCTGGCACCCCTGGGAGCCGTCCCAGCCCATCAGCGCCGACTGGATGGGCCGTGATGGATGGGCACACGGGCGCAAACGGCTGCAAGTTTGGGCCTCCGCTCGACGTCCGACAACTGGAGCGCGCCGAGGCGGGGCGGGGCGGGGCGGGACGGGCGGACGGGACGGGCGGACAGGACGGGCGGACGGGATGGGCGGACGGGACGGGCGGACGGGACGGGCGGACGGGACGGGCGGACGGGACGGGCGGACGGGGCGGGGCGGACGGGGCGGGGCGGACGGGACGGGACGGGCGGACGGGACGGGAAAACGGGACGGGCGGACGGGACGGGCGGACGGGGCGGGGCGGACGGGACGGGGCGGGGCGGACGGGACGCGGCGGACGGGACGGGACGGGGCGGGGCGAACGGGACGGGCGGACGGGGCGGGGCGGACGGGACGGGGCGGGGCGGACGGGACGGGGCGGACGGGGCGGGGCGGACGGGACGGGACGGGGCGGGGCGGACGGGACGCGACGGGGCGGGGCGGACGGGACGGGGCGGGGCGGACGGGACGGGGCGGGGCGGACGGGACGGGGCGGGCCGCCAGGCGCTGGTGCAGCGCCCGTCCGGAGGTGTGGCGGTCCGCACGCGGCGCCGCTGTGCTCAGAGTCGCGTCAGCTGGCGTCACGTCACGCCGGTGGCCGGATGAGTGCTTCCTGTGCAGAGCTCGGCTCGGCTCTGTATTGCAGGTGATTCGGACCATGACCAGCAGCGGTATTTGGTGGTTTCGGTCGAATGCTGCAGCGACTGCTCTCATAACTCACAGTACATTTAGGCTGTAAAATCATGTCAAGGGTTACAGCCCCGATTCAAGACCACTGCCCTCCATCTGGAATTCATTCGAACAGCTTCGACTTCGACCGTAGCGGAACGGGATGTAGGTAGCGGTCTGCGGGTGCCTCGGGGGCTTGCCCGGTCACTTCTCGGAGCGCCAGGAACACGGTGCCAATCAGCGGTTCATGTTGCCGTGCCGGCTCGCGAGCCCAGCTGGGACGTGATCCGTGTTTACGGCCGACTCAGAGCGGGCTGCCCCGCGCGCGGAGGTCGTCTGCGAGGACAGGGCGAGGGCGGCGCGCCCGGCCGGCTCCCGTTTCGGGAACGCCACACCAACGACGCAGTCCGGGGATGCCCGCCTCGGGCCGCGGCCGTGACGCCCGCTGGCTGTCCTTCCGCCGGCGCAGCGGCGGCGTTTGTTGGGGTGAGCGGCGCGGCCGATACAGCACTGCCACAGCACCGCAGACCCCGAGGTCAGGTCAGGTCAGGGTAGAGCATGGCAGAGCGTGGCATGTACGACCCGTCAGTCCGCCGACTTCAGTTCGTACAGCTGCGGTCGCCACGTGATTCCTGGGGCGCGGGGCAGCATCTCTCCATGGCCACGCCCTTCCGCCCCGGGTGGAGCTGGGGCATTCCGGCGATGTCGGCCACCCCAGCTCCATATCGCGCTCCATCATCACCCCTCGTCCCGCGGCCGCACCGCCTCGCGCCCGTCCTCCATCCGGGCCCAGGTTGGTGGCCGGGTAGCGGCGTGCGACCGAAGGCGCCGGCCCGGTCCCACGGCGGCGGCGGCCACGTCGGCCGGCCGCATGGTCCCTGGCGTGCGAACGCCGCCGCCGCTGACGGCCAGTAGTGACGCCCGAGCACGCTATGGCCGGCAGGGGGCGGCACGTGAGTCGCCCGATGAGACGGCGCCGCGGCGCGACCGGCGGCGGCCGGCCGCTCCCTAACTGAGTCAGCGCAGGTCGGTCGGGCGTCGGCGCGGCCCGAGTGTACCGAGCCGCGGGGCGGACATTCCCGAGGCGGGGTGGTGGGACGGAGACGTCCCGGCACGGACGATGGGACGGGCACCTCGCGCCGGGACTACACCGCCGACGTCCCAGACGGGACGATGTCGCAGCCAGCCGGTAACGGGACGACCGATGGTCCGGTCGTGATGCTTCGATTATGCGAACGGCATCAAGGGCTCGCACCGTTATGCAACGGCGTCCGGTTTTCCTCGCGCGCCTGGCGTGCCGGTGACTTGATGTGCGCTCCACTGACCACCTGTCTGTCTCTCACAGGTGCTGGGATGTGTGCCGTCGTCCGCGGTCGAACCGTCTCACCGGCCGCGTAGGGTGCCCGAGCCGCCATGAGGCTGCCGCTGGCGCTTCCGCTGGCCGCGCTGCTCGCCAGCTGCGGCGCGGCGGCGGCCGACGCGGCGCAGCTACCGCTCTGCGACCACCAGGCCGCCTGCTACTGCGAGACCATCCCGGGCGGCTCGTTCAACCTCTTCTGTCGGCTACCGGTGCAGTTCACGTACCGCGTGACCTACGTCGCGCCGACGGCGGCGTCGGGCGCCTCGCTCATCATCTGGTGCGACCCGCTCACCATGCGGCGCGAGCATTACCAGCTGCTCTACAGCTACAACATGACGCTGGGCCCGGTGGAGAAGGTGGTGTTCAACCTGTGCCCACTGCCGACCGGCCGGCTGGTCGCCTTCTTCGAGCGGCTGGGCGTGAGCGGCACGCAACGACTGCGCGTCAACTCGCACGACATGCTCAACGACACGATGCCCGCCGACTTCCTGCACGGCAGCAACGCCACCAGCGTGCAGCTCAACGGTCTGACGCGCATCGACATCCACGACGACTTCCTGGCCACGCTGGGGCACTTGCAGAACCTAACGCTAAGCGGCACGGCGCTGACGCTGCCGAGCGCGCTGTTCCAGCACACGCCGCGCCTCGGCCAGCTGGGGCTCGCCGGCAACCAGCTGCGGGAGCTGCCCGAGCAGCTGCTGGACGGGCTGACGCAGCTGCGCCTGCTCAGCCTGGGCAACAACCTGCTGCGCCAGCTCAGCCGGCGACACTTCCGCGACCTGGGTCAGCTGGAGATGCTGGATCTGTACCGCAACGAGCTGCGAGAACTGCCCGAGGACGCGCTGACTGTCGCTGTCGCGCCTGCAATCGCTGCGCCTGCAGTACAACCCGCTGCAGCGGTTGCCGGAGGGGCTGTTCGCCGGCGCGCCTAGTCTGCGGCTGCTGCACCTCAACGGCGGCAGCTCGTCCGGCGGCAACCTGACCACGCTGCCGGCCGGCCTGTTCCGCGGCCTCCGACGGCTCGAGATGCTGATGCTGGACAGGCTCAACGTGCGCCAACTGCCGGCCGGCCTGTTCGCCGACCTTAAGTCGTTGACCAATCTCACGCTTGACAACAACATGCTGGAGGCGCTGCCGGAGGGCGTCTTCGCCGGCCTGACCGCACTGCAAAACCTGGACCTGCGCGCTAACCAGTTGACGACGCTGCCGGCCGGACTGCTGCGCGAAGTGCCGCGGCTCGACACCCTGTACCTCAGCCGCAACCGGCTGGCGGCGCTGCCGGACGGGCTGTTCGCGGCGACGCCGCGCATGGAGCGCCTCTTCCTCGGCAGCAACGACCTGAGCAACGTCAGCACGGCCACCTTCAGCGGCCTGGGCACCAGCCTGCGGTTGCTGCGGCTCGACCGCAACCGGCTGGCGTTCGACCGGCGTTCGCCGCGGCCGCCCGCCTTCCAGGAGCTGGCCGAGCTGCGCGACCTCACGCTGGCCCACAACCGGATCGACCACATCACGCAGGACCTGCTGGTCAACCTGGTGCACCTTCGCCGGCTGGACCTGCGCCGGAACCTGCTGCATCGGCTGACGTTCGATGACCTCAACTTCTTGTGCAACGAGGCCGAGATCGACCTGCGCTCCAACAACATCTCCACCATCTCGTTTCCGCTGGCCACCATGAAGGTGGACGGCAACGACCACCGCAAGCCAAACGCCATCAACGTCAACGACAACCCGCTGCTGTGCGACTGCCAGCTGCTGTCGTTGCGCGCCTACCTGGACGGCACGGGCACGTTCGCGCGCCGCGCCGAGCTGGACGAGCTCTTCCAGCTGGTGACGGACGGCCTGGCCTGCGCGCGGCCGGCGCCGCTGGCCGGCCAGCCGTTCGCCGCGCTGCACGCCGACCAGCTGCTGTGCCCGCTGGAGGCCGACTGCCCGGCAGGCTGCGCGTGCCAGCAGCAGAGCAGCCAGCAGACGGTGCTGGTGACGTGCGGGGCGCGGCCGGCGGGCGCCGCGCTGCCCACGCGGCTGCCGCGCGTCCGTCGCTTCGGCGTCAGCCTGCACCTGGAGGGCACGGCGCTGCAGCGGCTGACCAACCTGTCCGCCACCACGGCGCCCGTCACGGAGCTCCACCTCAGCGGCAACAACCTGACGACCGTCGAGCCGAGCGCGCTGCCGCCGGCGCTGCGCCTGCTGCGGCTCGACCACAACCACCTGAGCACCGTCTCGCCGCAGCTGGTGGCCTACCTGGAGCGGAGCGGCGTGCGGGTGGCGCTCGGCGCCAACCCGTTCGTGTGCGACTGCGCGATGCTGCCGCTGCACCGGCTGATGCAGCGCCTGGTCAGCAACGGGTCGCGCCAGGTGCTCGACGCCAGCGACGTGTTCTGCGTGGGCCACAACAGCTCGCTGCTGGCGCTGAAGCCCGAGGAGGTGTGTCCGTGGCGACAAGCCACACTGATAGCCGTGTGCGTCGCGGCGACGGCGCTCGCCATGTGCCTGCTGGTGATCGCCGTGCTCTACTACCACTACAGCGACACCATCAAGGTGTGGCTGTACGCGCACAACCTGTGCATGCGCTTCGTCACCGAGGAGGAGCTGGACACGGACAAGAAGTACGACGCGTTCGTCAGCTACTCGCACCTGGACGAGGAGTTCGTGGTGGAGCACCTGGTGCCGCAGCTGGAGCAGGGCGAGCCCAAGTACTCGCTGTGCCTGCACTTCCGCGACTGGCTGGCCGGCGAGTGGATCACTGACCAGATTCAGCAGTCTGTGCAGAGCTCGCGGCGCGTGATCGTCGTCATGTCGCAGAACTTCCTTCGCAGCGAGTGGGGCCGGCTGGAGTTCCTCACGGCGCACAAGCAGGCGCTCAACGAGAAGCGTAACCGCCTGATCGTGCTGGTGTACGGCGAGCTGCCCGACCCGGCCGCCATGGACCCCGAGCTGCGGCTCTACATCAGTAGCAACACGTACCTCAAGTGGGGCGACGCGCTGTTCTGGGAGCGCCTCCGGTACGCGCTGCCGCACAAGGGGCGCCGGCTGAGGCGGCGCCGAGGCCGGCGCCGCCTCACTTCCGACAAGCTCGGCCTCATCATCCGCGAGAACGGCCTCAGCTCGGCCGGCTCGACGCCCACCACCGAGATGCCGGCCACGCCCGGCGGCGGCGGTCACGCCAACGGCTGCTTCGTCGGCGACAAACTGGCGCCCATCGTCGAGAGCATTCAGCGCGAGCAGTTCGGCGATCACGTGGTTTAATCACCACGTCGCGACGGAGAACGGAGGACGCTTGTGCGATGCTACCGCGCGCCAGAAGTTCCAGTATCTCTCGCAGTATCCTTCGCACGCCGCATTCGCTCCCGCCATCCCGCAGGCTTGACATGTTCGGGTGCGGAGCACCGCCATGCCGGCGCCGGCCGACCCAGCTCGACACGGCAGCCGCGCTGGAGCGCACTCTCCGAAGCGCCGCACATGCCGTGCGCGCCGATCGGAGCGAGTCACGCGAGTGGGAGCGGCGCCGGCCGCGGCCGGCGACGCCGGATGTGTGGACGTGCGCGGTCGGCGGTGTGAGGACGTGTGGACGTGCGCGACCGGCGTACGTGACGCGCCAGCGGCGCCCGGCGGACGCCCGCTCTGCGGATCGTCCGGCGGTGTGTGGTCGGGTTGGCCGACGCGTGCGAGCGGCGGCCGGCCGGCACCGGACTAGCGACCGGCCGACGGATGTCGCTGCCCGCGGCGCGTGGCGTCGGCGCGTCCGATGATGGCGACGATCATGCTAGGCTGTGACACGAGTACGACAAAGTAGATGATCAGACAGGCCGGTAGGGAGGCGCCCGGCGCGGTGGAGCGCCGCCGCCGACAGGCAGGCCGGTCGGCGCTGCTCAGAGGCCGCAGTGCCGCCCCGGCCGCACTTGTGGGGAGCGCGGTTCATGTTTGTCGCCCCACTGCCTCCCGTTATCGCTGCACCGTTCCGCTCGTGCTGTGGTCCGCGTCGTCATCTGGTTTTGCAGAGCCGCGTAGTGTCCGCGCTTCCTTCGGGTGGGTACAATAGGCGGGCGGCGCCGCGCGCGCCGCCTGGTGTACAAAGCGTTCAGTCTAGGGACGCCGGGCGCTCATCGTCTGCAGGCGCTGTCCCCCATCAGGGTTGTTGCATTCCCGACAGCGTCTCAGCATCTCAGTGTTTCAGCAGCGATCGATATGATTATGTTGCAATACATGTTGTCAAGAGCTTCTGCTATCATCTCTCAGGCAATTGACTTACAACATTCACGATAACAAGCACAGACAGCAAGCCCCAATACGTGCCGACCAGCACACCGGCAGCAGCGGCCGCTCAAGTTCGGTAATCATGTGTGGGGACGCGTGACTCCACAGCCGGAGTTATCGGTTCACCACAAGCCTTCCAGACAATGGGAAACTTATTCAGAAAAAAACTTGGGCTGGATGATGCAACTTTGTTTTGATCCCGACGTTCAAATCAATAAAATCATCTTCCACACATGCAGCACAACTCGGCTGTCCAGGTTCATAGCGGTCCAGGTATTTGTACCTAGAGGAGTTATGTGGGAGGAATTTGGTGTCCAAATGGGCTGCGCATGTGTAGATGTACCCATTGTAATGCTTTGTGGCGGGCCTCGTGCCGTGCACCCCTGTCAACCGACACCACAGCCACGCGGTTCACAAGAGCGGTCACGTGGCGCGTCATGAACCGGCAGAACCGCGACCCGCACTGGCCCGGGGAGCTTCCTTCTGCGAGGCGGCGAACTGCGAGGCGTCAGCAGCAGCCATCGCCCTCTTCGCCCGCTTCCGCACCGTCACCGGCCTAAGACAATAGCACCCGACCGGCGCGACCCTGGTGGTGACTAACTACACATGCGGGGAGAACGCTGGAGTGCGGGTTGGCGCACCACGGCAGCAGGCTCGTCAGCTGCTGCTGTATCTGTGGTTAGCTTGTTTAGCCCGTATGTGTTATGTCCTCGATGCGACATGCAGCATAAATGGAACTGTGTTCTCCATGCATGCCAATGGCCCCGTTACGGTAGACATAGCGGTGCAATGCCACTATGTGCGGATTCTCCATTCTGTATTTTGCTATGAACCTTAAGTCTCCACCACCCAGATCGTTTGATTTGTCATGTGCCTCAACAGATTGAGGTTGCTGCGTGAAACTTGACAGACACTGTATAGCTGAAAACGGCGGCACTCAGCACGCTAGTGGCGTGTTTGGTTGGCAGATAATCTCGGAAAATCACCTGGAATATCGGAAAAACTTCCGGAATGGTGCTCGGCACTGCCAACCCGGAAAATCATCACAGATTATCCGCACCGGGAGAATTCCGGAAAGTTTTCAAAGCACGGCCAAGGCGGAGAATCTTTTTTCACTATGCATAGTCGTCGACCGTCCGCTGTGCATGGCGTATGGGAGACGAAACTGGGGGACAATTTCTGGACCTGCCGAACACAAATGCAGAATCGCCATGGATGATTATCGGAGAGATTATTACTCGCTGAATAATTTTCCCTAGGCCGAACGCCCAAAGATCTAAGATCTTCACGTTGGCAAATGGCTCCTTGTGCGCAGAACTTATGTTATGTTATGATAGGAAAATGATGGGACCAGCAACCCCATATGTGCCAACATCTAAATGCGAACATGACTGACTTTCAACTTAGAGACGAGGGGGGAGGAAAGAACTGTCGAATTTTGTTGAAAACTGATAAACTTTTCATAGACCTCGCCTGCAAGTCAAAGGCCAAGAATATTTGTATCTAAATTTATGCACATAAGGCAGCACTGGTCACAAAATTGGGCCATCTTGACCCTCCTGTAACGTGAAAGGCGTTTCTCTGTTAAAGACTTCTTGTCGAGACAAAATAAGACAATTTCCTTAAAGGCCTGACACCAACCACTTAAACCCTCGACAACAACGGCACACGGCACAGCCAGCACAGACGATGGGAAGCGAAAAAAGGTCATGGTCCTAGGGGCGGCATCTCTCGGCCACCCATCTAAGCGCCTGCACCTGACCAGGCTGAGCCGGCATGACAGGTTAGAGTGGCCCGGAAGCCACGCAATCAGGTCACCTTGAGTTGACCAGAGGCCTAAGAGGCTTTCAACCGAAGAACGCTGCAGATTCCTTGCAGATAACTGTTCGGTAATCGGGTGGACCAAAAAAAGCTATGAAAAATACTAGGAACGTCGGAGGAACCTTCAAAGGGAGACCAATGTTATTAAAACAACCGGAACCATTGGCGTGGGTAGCGGATTTACCTTACCTTTTAACCTTATCAGAAAGGCATGGACAATAGGGCATCCGGAGACCTTTAGCACTTGCATCATAAGGTCCGCATTACCAACACCGCTGGTGATTTATCACCCGGTCTGTATAAGCCTAGTGGCTGTTCAAACGCATTCTGAAGCGTCACCCAACTTCTGCCCCACACAACTATGTGACGAGTTGATGGGACCGCGCTGGGAATGCAGGCCGAGGCCGGGCCTGTGCCCGCACCGCCTGGATCCGCTCATGTCAAGGCCCGAGCCAAGGCGCCCTGTCTTAACTCCACGCCCACCCCATCCCCAGCCAAGGCGCCCTGTCTTAACCCCACGCCCACCCCATCCCCAGCCAAGGCGCCCTGTCTTAACCCCACGCCCACCCCATACCAACGACGTGCCCCGCGACCGACCGCCGGCCGGCGGACTGACCTGCGTGACCTCGGGAGTGCCGCGACCCCGACCGGGGTCGCACGACAGCCGTACGGTGGCGGTGCGCCGGGCCGGCCCGTCACCTGGGGCGGGACGCGGGGTCAGCGCGGCGGGTCACGGCGTCAGCGCGCTGGGACGCGGGGTCGGCGCTGGGGGTCACAGGGGGTCAGCGTGGCTGGCCACGGCGTTAGCGTGCTGAGGCGCGGGGTCAGCGTGGCAGCTCGAGGCACCGCCCGCCCACGGCCGGCCGTCAGCACACAGGTGTGGTCGCGGCCAACGTCAGCGACACACCTGTCCGGGGGGAGGGGGAGGGGGAGGGGGTGGGGTAGACAAGGAGGAGCCGGCAAAAGAGGCCAGTGGACAGACGGCCGCGGTGGGTATTGAGAGCACCCACGGAGGTCAGACGGGGCGCCGCTGAACAGAGCGTCGTGGTCGAACACCGTTCAAATATGGCGCGAATAGCATCTGGACAGTGCGGCATTTGCCAGGGGTAAAGTTTCAAAAAAAAGTGCAATAGGGGACTGAGCGGCGACAAACTTATGAGCTCACCCTGAAAACACAGGAAAAAAGGTGTTTCTCTCCGCATTTGATCGACGGTCTTCTCACAGTTAAAAGGGCCAGAGCCCCATTTCCAACTGAATCGGAAACTATGCATCGGCACTAACATGGCACGCAAACATGAGCACGCACGCACGCACACACACGAACACACAACACACCTTTGGTAAGCGAACAGGACACATGGCGCCGTGGGTGAGTTCTGAGGTTACCTGTCGCCGTCGTCATTGGGGCTTTACGACCCACCCACCTGCTGAAGCTATATGGCGTCGCCTGTCTTTCATCGTAGCAAGCAGGGCTTGCACCGCGCGGGATCGAACCCCGTGCCTCTGGTTTCCCAGACTCGCAGTGGTTCTGAGGTTACCCAATGCAGATTGTGTTTGCCACTAGCCAGTCTAATGCAGCCATGATGTGTCAGATGGCATTTTACCATGCTGGCATACGTCAGTCGAGCACATCGCTTGGTGCTGAAATATAAAATCGTGCGGCGCCGCGGCGAGGAAAAACAACTTTTCTTCACTGCCAGTTGTAGGTATTTGGAGTGTGAGCACCGGGCTAGTCCAGGACCACCGCCCTGGAGCTGCCATCCACCACACTTATTTTGTGCCGGATCAATCACTGCATACTATCAAACGAAGGCCTAACGGTTGGCAGAGGGCTGGCACTGACCGCAATCCGACATAATATGATTTAATAAGGTCAGCGTGACGTCATCGGATGCTCACGGTGCACGCCTGCAGGTGCACAGACTGCGGCTGTGGTTTATGAGCCATTGCAGATAGTTTTGCGAGTCCTGCGTTCCCAGTTTACTCCTCTCGAACCTGTCTTGAAGCTATGCACATGGGTTCTGTCATCCCATCAATGACATGAATAGAGTGCGAGGAAACGGCCCGACCCGAAAAAACAGCACATCGATTGGCCACAGGCTGCCCCGCCACGAACCGGCACAAGCCCTTGCGGAGCTAAGCAGCCATAACTTCTAGCAAATCCC